ACATATCCTTATTAGATTTCCTGAGCCGTCCTCACATGATCTAGCAGGAATAGACTTTTGGCCAGGACTCCAGGACAAAAATGCAGGCTCATCGTTTGGTAGATTATGAACGGGTGGTAGAAGGTATATGCTCTGTTCTTAATATTATTACATTATATATATCATAACAGGAATTTAATAACGCACATCAATGTGTTGTAGCACATAATAGGCAGCAGATATTTTAATTTATGAGACTGGTATCTATGCAAATTTTGATTGTTCAAGAAAGTGTGAAAGTAGGAGCCAGAATGTCCAAAGTCTGTTTACTGCTGTGGGAACATTTCCTTGTCTTGGCGCGCAGTTGTCTACACCAGCCTGTGTGAGTCAGCGCTAATTGAATGGCGCCCAGGTAGGATTTGCTCCCTCGCACAAAGGAGAAGACAAAAAAGCACATTGGGTAAAGAATCTATTGTTACCTGCCCAAAGGTGACCCTGTCGCCTAGGGCACCAGATTAGTTGATTGCCAGGTATCAGGTGGCGCCTCCTGGAATACTGCAGGGTAAGAAAGCACTATTGTCTGAGGCTTTAAGCAAAGAAATGGTGGTCGCACGAAAGAGGGACATGTGTGTTTTATGTCCCCAATTTCCCCTTGGCAGACTATACGTCACTGTCCATTTCATGGGAAGCAGTGTTATGTTGCTTTACTGTATTATTGAAATACAAAATACGTCACTCCATCACCTTGTACCGTGAATGGGATGGTTCATCTTTTATAACAAAAGGCACAGAAGAGAACAAAAAAACACCTTTCTTTTAATTCGCTCTCAAGTTTCACCTAAAGAATGTAAAGTACAAGGAACTAGTGTAAACCACAGATAGATATATATCATGAGAAAAGTACTACTTAAAAAAAATCATGGTTTAGCAGATTATATTATAGATATTAAGAAAGTAATAACAGATCCACACTCCAGAAGAACAATAATTTTCAACATATTTTAATTTTTTTTTTTTTTTAAATCAAAGTGAAGATGTTCATAAATCCTGGGAAAGACAGGCCATAAAAAAAATAAGAAACCCTGCAGAGGTGGGCTTATTAAAGAACCTGACCCCTGACTTTTTCTAGAGGTTTCAAAGTGTGGCATTTAGTGAAGCACAGCAGACTGTGAAGCACATGTAACCGGACCCATGTGCCCACTGCACCACAGCACTATATACATGCGCTAATGTGCGGTCAAGGGGCAACTGGGTCTGAGACCCACCACTTCTGTACACACACACACCCTCTTCAATATAGAGAAAAATAATCTGTTTGTTTTATGAAAACACTGAGTGAACAAGTACTCCCAAATACGTTCATACGCAAAACACATAATTCTAAGCAAAGGGATTAAAAAACGTATTTAATAATATATATTTAAATATATATTTTTATTTCTGTGTGTATATATATATATATATATATATATATATATATATATATATATATATATAATATTTAAAATATAATTCTATATATCATAGAATTATTTAATATAATAATATGTTCTAACATCACTAGAACATCCAAGCCAGCAGGGGTCAGCAGAATGACTTCAATATCTAGTCCATTAAATATAAGGGATGCTCATAATACGTTTTAAATGCTGTATTGAGAGCTTTGTGGCATGCATGGGTCTGCATTGACTTTGCAAACTTTACTTAAATAGAAAAATATAAGCATGAATGCTGAATGTTTGTGGCATGAGGAAAGCAAAGACTTGATACCACACATCTAGAAAAAAAACTGGTTCTATCACATTATTGTGCAGACAGCAAGTGGAAGCTACTTTCTGAAATAACCACGTTTATTGTTATCATTGATGTTTCTGATTAGAATGGGGAAAAACAGTAACAATGTGACAAATAAAATGATGAGTGTCCTAATCACGTCCTACTGGGAGTCAGGGGAAAAAAATATTATTTATTTATTATTTAGTAGTGATTGGGGCATAATAAACAGACGACACACAACCACTTTTGTAAATAAAAAAGTTTGAAAGAAATATCTTATTTCATACGAATTAAATAAAAAATATAGGCCTATGTAATTAATCTGCGGTGTCTCCCAGCAGATGAAAACACACACACACACACACACACACAGTCCTGATGTCCTCTACTGAGGACTCAGCGGGAAAAAAAGTCTTTGTACAGTAAAATAACTCTGCTTTAAAAACTCAAGAAACAATCTGAACAAAAAACAAAACAATCAAATACAATAACCTACAAAAATAATCATGTATGAAATAATATAAAGGATCTCATTTTCTCAGCAGGTTCTCATTTTCATAAACCAAGAGGCTTATAAACTAATTGAGCCCATGATATGCCTCAGATTACCTAATGTAGGCCTAATTTTACCCCGATTATCTTTACTCATTTATGCCTTTAATAATTACATGTAAATGTAACTTTACAGTTCAAACCAATTCTTTGATTCTTTCTTTACCAATGACCAAAATTAGATTTTTTAATTTTTTTTATTTAGCTGATCATTAATTCAGATAGTTTTTGGTCAAAAATGTGATTGCTTTGATGTTAGCCTATCACAACAAGACTCTAAATGCGGCAAATAAAGAATAACGTGTTTACCAACGAAATTTCTGCGTCAAACTGATTTAATATATATTTTTTTACATTTCATATTTTCTAATTCGCTTGGAGTGTTATGGACATGACTGAACCTTACTTTAAGAGAATGACCTCATTGTTGTTCATTGTATAGCCTACCATGATTGCTTTTTTGAGGGAAGCAGTTTATGGTGTGTTTACCATTGGTATGTGTGTCGGAGTTCGCGTCGACCTTGCCAACCCTCGCCTTTAGGCCATAAAAGAGCACATCTTGAAATGATCAAGGCCTGAGAACGGGCACGGCCTTTCGATTTCTGAGGTTTAAGGAGGGGGCGCGCGGCAATGTGCTGGAGACATTACGACAACCCGAGCGCCGTCAATCACAGGCCCGTGTGCTGTTACACTGACGCTGATACTTGACCCCACTGACGAAATAGACCTAAATGTCGTTAAATTCAATAAAATCTAGTCACATACAGCAATGGAAAATTGGTTAAGGATTGGAAAACCATCGTGAAAACCTATGAAACGTCATTTAATCCATTGAGATATAAAGTGATAGATAATTCAAAGATAAGTCAAAATAATTTAGACTTTCGCTGTAAAAATATTGTTGGTTTATCTTGAAGTAGCCTATACGTTACCCAGTTGCCTTAAAATTTTGAGTTCATTGAAATAAAAAAATAAAAAAATATGAGTTAATGAAAGAGATTGGTTTAATAAATAGAAACTCAAAATATTATGTTATCTGAACTTTTTTTTTTACAGTGCTGTGCATTCATATGAAAAATGAATAGGCCTAAGCTACGCATTTAAAAAAAAAAAAAAAACTTAAGTTTTTTTTTTAAATTTTGTAAAATGAGACAAAATTATTCACAAAACTCAAAGTAAGCAAATTAGACAAAATCGTGTTTTCCCTTGTTCTAAATATATCAAATGTAGCCTATATTACGACAATTTATTTTGCACTTGAAAAGAAATTGTAAGCCCAGAAAATATTTACTAGTGGTTCATCTTTAGGTGTACGTTTTGCTAAGTTTTTTTTGTGCCTTTGGGTGATCCCTCAGGACAGATGGACGGGGCAGCTTTCATTAGCCTGCTCCTCTGACCCTTCAGAGACAGTGGGCAAAAAGTTGTTTTCACAGGTGCACGGATTGGCTGCTAAAACCGATTAAGTCCTCGTTTTATCCCAGTGTCTTGAGGCTTGCAAGATCATTTCAGCCCATAGAGGGAACAGTGGAGGCTAGTCTACATTAACTGGCCCATGCGTAAAGAGCGACTTAAAAATGAACGCCGCGTCTCAAATTAAATTAAAAGAGGTGCTCCATTCTGGGTGAGTGATTGTGAGTTTCGCGTCGCCGCGGTGTCAGGTTGCAGATTTCTACGAAGATAAAGAAACGCGATCTATGCCTTAAAACAGCGTCTGGATGGCAAAGACCTCGACGAACACAGAACTCATTTACTAATGCATCGGTTTTAGATTTCACTGTACAGAGAGAGGGGAGAGGACTAAAAAGAAAGAGCTGGAAAGAATGCATTTTTTTTCTGAGCCAAAAGAATACAAATCATTTAAGTGCTCTAGGCTATGTTTGATGTTTTAATCTCAAGTTCAAATAAAGTAAAAGCAGAAAAGCAAAACAGAAAAAATGCATGGTAAATTTTTGATTTAATATATATATATAAATATAACAAAATGTCTCTATTTTTTTGTTTATAACCAATTTTGTTGAACTCAAATAAACAGCACTTGAAGCGGGTAATATTGATATTAACTGGATTTGGCTAAGTTTATCCTTATAAATAAACGCAACCTTGCATCTTTTGTGTAACCAGCGCCATTTCAGTGATTATACTACTTGCCTTGCATGTTCTGTAGAAAAGTTTGAAGAGCCGGGGGCGCTGCTTATCTAGTGATTAGCATTATGTTATCTAACCAGCTCGAGAGGCTGATTGTTTTAATTGAACTCCAAATATCTCCGCGCGCATCTAAACGTTACGCAGGGCGCGTGCCTTTGACAATGGCACAGTAGCTAGAGTCAATGACAGCAATCAAATGATGATTGCAAAGATTCTTTGCTGTGGATCAGAATTGTCTACCTAATATTAATATGCAATTGAGGCACGATATTTTCCTCATAAAAATAGGCTAAATGAAGATAATGTCGTTAATTTGACTCGGTTTACGTAACATAATATTGTTCATTAAAAATCTGTTAGGATAAATATAAGCGCTTTAATGTCTTTGGGTGCCTTCAGACAGTTTGCTAATTGATTAGTATCGAGGTGCCCGGCTCCCTCAGGTAGAACTGGAGACGGGGGATCCAGTTTCAGACCACCGAGTCCCCGTGGGAGGAAATGGAAGCAGAGTTCTCTCCGCACTGCTGTTGGGGATAGGGCAGCTGGAGAGCCAATCAGCAGTCGCGCAGTGCTCTTTTAGCGCGACATGAGTCGATAGTGAACAAACTGTCTTCAACAAACACCCAAAACTTCACGGCGCGCGCAGAGGACATCTCCAACCCCAAAAAATCTTGTCAAGCGACCTAATCGCTCCCATTGAACGAAGGCAAACGGGGTGTCACCCATTCCGCTTCCTTTATAGCATCTAGAGGAGAGCGGTTTGGTAGCGGGAGTCAGACGTCATGTCAATGCTGCCTTCTTTCGGGTTTACTCAGGAGCAAGTCGCGTGTGTTTGTGAGGTGCTGCAACAAGGGGGGAACCTTGAGCGTCTCGGCCGTTTTCTGTGGTCTCTTCCGGCCTGCGACCATCTCCACAAGAACGAGAGCGTCCTCAAAGCCAAGGCTGTAGTCGCCTTTCATCGTGGAAACTTCAGGGAACTTTATAAGATACTAGAGAGTCACCAGTTCTCTCCACACAACCACCCGAAGCTGCAGCAGCTGTGGCTTAAGGCCCATTACGTTGAGGCTGAGAAGCTGAGGGGGCGACCGCTGGGAGCGGTGGGGAAATACCGAGTGCGCAGGAAATTTCCTCTGCCACGCACAATATGGGACGGCGAGGAGACCAGCTACTGTTTTAAGGAGAAATCCCGCGGTGTGCTGCGGGAGTGGTACACGCACAACCCCTATCCATCTCCTCGGGAAAAGAGGGAGTTGGCTGAGGCCACAGGGCTGACCACCACCCAAGTTAGCAACTGGTTTAAAAACAGACGGCAGAGGGATCGCGCAGCGGAGGCAAAAGAAAGGTAAGCTCAGTCATCTGAGAACAAAATCAAAACGCGATACAGCCAATTCAGCCCTTCGTTCCACTTAGTTCGCAGATGACTGCTGATGATGCTATATTGTTGACACGTCTAGGCTATAGTTTGATTACAAGAGCGCTGCTTTTGGTCAGTCCTCAAAATATGAATATCGTATCAGTACAAAAACGTACAGGTGTTACATTAAGGATCTAGTTCTGATGAACTCTTTGGAAAATATAGGTTGATATCACGTTATAGGTTATAATATTTGTTGACTTGGATAAAACCCCTTATTTTAGCCTAGCCTATATGTTTGCAGATGAAGCAACTTTTTTCTTTTCTATTTCTTTTTACATTTTTATATTTGGCAGCAGTCAAAATAAAATAGAACATTTTAACTTAATTATAAAATCTCAATATTTTTGCATTCAGTACATAAATACATTTTTGTGTGAGAATTTGTTCTTCTTGCACAGTCATCCGTCATGACCAAATTAGTTTATATTTGAGAAGACTACGAATTTATATTTTACACAGCGTATTTGATCTACAATGTAATGTTAAATGTGCCTGCGTAACCCTCATCTCATTATCTTTGACAGGGAGAACAGCGAAAACAACAACACGGGCGCGAACAAACAGAACCAGCTTTCACCGCTGGACGGCGGGAAGTCCCTGATGTCAAGCTCGGAGGACGAGTTCTCGCCCCCGCAGAGTCCTGACCAGAACTCCGTGCTCCTGCTCCAGGGTAATATGAGCCACCCCGGCGCGTCCGCGTATTCCATGACCGGCCTAGGCGCCGCGCAGTCGGTACACGGCATGCAAGGACACCCACATCAACTCCAGGATTCTTTACTGGGACCTTTAACTTCAAGCCTGGTGGACCTCGGTTCTTAAGTGATTGCGACTGAGCTTTTATTTATTTTTGTTTATTTTGTACCAAATATAGACTGAGATCTGCCACTTTTACTGTATATATATATATATAAAGGAAAAAAATGAACAATATAAATCTAAATAAAAATCCTTAGTTTTTCTCTGGTTCTCAGAGAAATACTCAGTGGTACGCTTCACCGTGGTAGACTATTACGGACTGACATTTGCCAAGTCGTTAAACTGGTCAGAAGACAAAACAAAAGCAGTTAATAAAGCGATTTTTTTCTTAAAACTCATAAGATGTTCTTCTAGCATTTCATCACACTGTTTTGCACCAATAAAATACGAAGATGAAGTGGAAAATTAAAATACAAGTTATCGCAATAAATCTGAGATATATAGCAAATTAAATGGTGAAAAATTATTCACAGATGAAGGGTCGTGTCTTGTCTCACAACATGTCGCCTAAATAGTTCCAACTACACCATTAATTAATGGTTAATTAAGTAGGCTACAATTTAAAATCAAGGGTGAAAATAACACGCATTCGAATATTCTCTTCATGCATCAGATCAAAGACCCAAAATCATTATAGGCCCCTAGTCCTATTTTACAAAAATAGCCAACATTACGTGTTTGGAAATGACTGTAAATAATAACGTTTTCCCGCTCTTTATGTTAACTTAAACATTAAAGTTTAACCCAATAGCCTACCAAAACAATTCATTTTGAAATTCCCTTGTCCAAATATTTTGAGGAGAAATGACATACAGACCAATGAAAATTACGATAGCCTACTTAAAATACTAAATATCGAATTGTAAAAAGTATGGTAAAATAAATTAATAGATAACATATTGGATGACCCAATTTATCCTCTCATGATAATAGCCCTTCTTCGTATAATTTTCTATATAATGTAGGCTACTCGTGACACAAACGTCCTCTTAATATTGTGGGTCAACAAAAAGCGGGGAGTTGTTGATTTTCCTTTAGCCCCAGGAGGCGCGTGTTGCTTTTGTGGTCGCAGTGCATCGTTAGGTTTGTAGTGGGGTGTTTACTTTGCGCTCTCTCAATGTTTGTTCTGGTGGTTCTGGGCCAAAGAGAAGACATACCAGCTGCGGGAGGCAAACTCACGTGGCTTCATTCATAAGTTTCTTTTGAGCAAAAACGCAAACATGGCTTTCTGGCCCAGCTGACATGTGTTCTTGGTGTTTCATTTAATGATAATAATATCATGTAATAATAATGCTTTAACTTTAACGCTTACAGAATAGCCTAACTAGGCTACATTATTTGGCATTGGCCAATGTTGGCTTATTTAAAATATGGTTAAAATATGAAGGAAAGACTTTACAAGAACCTCTGATCGTTAGCCCAGCGACATGTCGAGAACCCAGGCAGTTTCCCACCCATCTTCCACGCAAGCATGTAAGTGTAATTGTTTTTAACAGAGAGTACCGAGGATTTCCGGTAGCTAATCGGAACCAGTTGCTTGCGCTATAGGTTCGCATTAGAGCATTGGAGGCCCAGAACCGCCCATAGAGGGGCACTTTTGCCCCCAGGGTACCAAAACGTGCAATATGACATTAAATGCAACATTTGTTGACAGCCGCGGGGTAGCCTACCATTTTATTTTATTTTTTCGTTTCTTATCTAAATTCTGTATTTTGTTTTAATTATTAGATAATCAAACTAGGGAATTTGGCTACTCAAACCAACTTATTATCTCGCATTTATAAAATTATTTAACCCGGGTTAAATGTTGAGACGTCTCTTAAAACGAAATAGTGATGGACAATCTAACCTTGTTCATGTCAAAAAACAAACAAAGAAAAATAAAAATAAAACATGCAAAATACAGTACCAATGGCTTGGGAACCATAGTCTCATGTATTTTACTAATACGTAATTTAAACAAATTTAAACATTGTTTATATGAGAACATATTTGTGGATATTTAAAAATATTAAATTAAGCCTATTTGTAGAAAATATATACACGACTTTCTAAGTTACTGTACTCTTAACAAATGCAGTCACCAATCAAAGACAACCACATTTCTAAAAATGCTAATTAGGATAATTCACTCAAAAAAAAAAAGAAAAAAGAAAAAAAGAAATAATTCTGTCATTATTTACTCGCCCTCATGTTGTTCCAAACCTGTGGAACATAAAAGAAGATTATTTTGTGTGGGTTTTGTTTTATTCACAGCAACATACATTTATTAATTTATTCACAGTAATACAGCAACATTTCTCAAAATATCATCGTTTGTGTTCCACAGAAGAAATTTAGTCATGCAGGTTTGAAATGAAAAGAGGGAGAGTATGACTGATTTATTAGAGAGGTATCACTTTAATAAATGTCAAAGGGTTAACATTGGTTCACCAAAAATGAAAATTCTGTCATTAATCAGGCTACTCACCTTCATGTGGTTCCAAACACATAAGACCCATTCATCTTCGGATCACAAATTAAGATATTTTTGATGAAATCCGAGAGTTTTCTGTCCATACACAGACTGCAATGTAATCACCGTTTGGCCCAGAAAGGTAGTAAAGACATCATTAAAATAGTTCATGTGACTACAGTGGTTCAACCGTAATATTACAAAGCGAGAATACTTTTTGTGAGGAAAAAACAACGACAAAAATAACGACTTTATTCAACAATTTCTTCTCTTCTGTGTCAGTTTCTGATGCTGTTTATGTTGTAAACACGGTGCAGTGCTTCTGGGTTATACGTCAGAACGCCGGCTCAGTATTTGCTAACGCTGTTCACGTGAGTACCACGACGTCATGCTGACGCAGGATCCGACCAATACTGAGCCGGCGTTCTGACGTAGAACCCGGAAACACTGCACCGTGTTTACAAGGTGAAGAAATTGCTGAATAAAGTCGTTATTTTTGTCGTTGTTTGTTTTTCTCACAAAAAGTATTCTCGTTGCTTTTATTTTCAAGTATGTTTCAGTTTTTGTGGGGTCAGAAAGCTATCGGACCATCAAATCATCAAAAATACCTTAATTTGTGTTCCGAAGATGACCGAAGGGCTTACGGGACAACATGAGGGTGAGTAATTGATGAAAGAATTAACCCTTATGTACTCAAACAGAAAGAGTAAACTTACAGTTTTTTTTCTCAATATGCTACAACAATTTAAGAGTTAAGAATAAGTAAATTAAAAGTAAGATATGGTATTCACTTTCAAAACTTTCAAGGTTTGCTGTTATAGTCACTTCGGAAAAAGCGGGCAGGTTGTTTGGAGCTCTATAGCTGACTAACGCTGCTTTTTAAAGGACTCAGGTTTCCAGTCCCCCATTCCCTCTTGGAGCACAAGCTCTACAGCCCTGTAAACCAAGGTGAGCACACAAAGCAGAGGCCTGTGCTGAACGTGAATGAGACAAATAGAGTGTTTCTCATGTGGGAAGAAAAGGGTTCGGCTGTAATGTGAGCAGCCTCTGTGGGGTTTAGGAGGGGGAATGACTGAGTGCTATTTTCTTCACAGATAATAGTTTAGACTTTTGGGAGTTGTTAAGGGGGGTAAGGGAGAACAGGTGGGCTTCATGGCTCCCTGCCCTTCCCCGTATTACCTTTTGTCACCTGAGCTCAGGTCATCCCTCGCCTCGAGCTTTGGCTCAGTGAGGCATCATAGGATTACAAGACGGGACAAACAAACAGCATAAACACACACACACGACAAAATCTTTGGAAGCTGTACAGGCCGAAAAAAATTGAAATATCAAATGGAGGAATCTGACTACAGCAGCTATTTGATAAATTAACGAAAGGATGGTTGAGAAAAGATAGACATAAACTGTTTAAACAATCCTTAGAATTTAGAAGATTAAGACGGTTCTGTGTTGGACGGCAAATGTTAGTTTGTGCTAACAGCTTATAATAAATCACTGGAAAGCTCAGGAATGGTTAGGCAATTGCACAAAAAAAAGGTGAAAGTGGTTTTCCATATGGTTGTGTGTCAAAGAATATGGCCTTGGAGAGACGATGAGAGTCCCTTATTAACTGAAGTGGACCCTGTAATCCCAATGGAACATTTATTGCAATACACAATCATAAATCAAAGAAACATATGATCCATCAATATTATTAAATAATATTCTATTTTCTTATTTCATTGTTAAAGTAATAGTCTTTCAAAGAAAAGAAAATGATGTCATCAAGTATGCACCTTCATTCCAAACCTGTGTGACTGACTTTCTTTTGTGGAACACAAAAGAACAGGTTTTTAAGAATGTTTCAGTCATTGGGGTCTAAGTCAACATTGGACCCATTGAATTTCATTGGCCAATTAAATCGATAATAATAAAAAAAAATTGTGTTCCACAGAAAAAAGGGCGACCAATTCCTTCACAAATTAAAAAAAAATTAGTTGTCAGCTACACAAGATTGTGTACCCCTTTTCATTCTCCCACCAAACAACATGCTATAAAACCCATGGTGCAAAACTCTGGAGGGCCACAGTCCTGTAGAGTTTAGTTCCAACTCCACACACGTACCTGTAGAACTTGATCAGCTGGATCAGAAGTGTTTAATTAGAGTTGAATCTAAACTCTCCAGGACTGTAGCCCTGTTTTGCACCCCTGAACTAAACAAAAGAATGAAGCAAGATGAACGAGCAGTGCAGGAGATTGTATCACCTTACAGGAAGTCATGACCCATGGCATCACCACAGTGACTGCGCGTTTCTCCAACTGCCAATCAACCAGCATTGTGTTCCATTACAATGACATCAATGTTTTAACGATACAATTATAATTGTTGTAATTATCTAATTTAGGAAGGTGTGGACAAAACAATCAGAGCTTCAGACTTCGGTACACTCATTCGGGAAATTATTGTCAATGTAGGAGGTCAAAAAAGGCATCACAAGCCATGTTCCCCTATGCATTGACAAACACTTGCACTTGAGCAAACACGCTTCATAAAAGGCAGAACCTGTGCTGCACACCTGCCGGTGCGTCATCTCTCTGTACAGCTGATTTCAGATGAGCTTCCTGTCTAGGGAAGCTATTATCTTTTATAGATTTGTCAAAAAGACAGCAATATTACTCCAACAATTTGGCATGACTTCACGCTTTTATCAGTAAAAACTGGAAGGTCACACGCTTTCCCAGCACCCTTGATGGTCATGGTCTGTTCTGCAGCGCTGGGTAACGGATTACTTCCAAACGGTCACAGAGGCTCAGGTTTCAAAGCCAAGCCCCACTGATAAACGAGTGGAGGCAGTTGTCACCCAGGCAGGGAGTCCTCCATCAGCAGCGTCTGAAGAGTAAGAGGGCAGGGGTTTTTCACAGACTTGCTGTGAGCCTGGCGTCAGTCGCTCCAGGGTTCATAGAGCAGGTATTTAGGGGTGATGACCACGGAGGAGCCGAAGTGTAGAATGCACAGGCTCATATAAATTGACATTATA